GCCCTATTTAAAGGACCTTATAGCCCTCTTGTGCGGCTACCTGTCCAGAGAGAGTGCCCCTTGAGAACTTGAGCGAGTTGAGAGAGTGATAAGGCCATATTGATCGATTTTGATGTGATTTAGCAAAGGAGAAGTTGTTTCCAGCAAGAGGAGGTCAAGGGAGCTGTGGATCCAGGGTTTTCAAGTTCAGTTCTAGACCAAGAAGTTTGACGGAAACTTAATAAAATTCAAATTTTATTAACGAAAATCGGTTAAATAGAAACGGAAAAAGGTTCGGGTTGTCACATTTTGCTTGCTTATCTTCATTTAATATGTGCTCGAATGCACAGAAAAAACCAAAAACTTGAAATTGATAATCAATGTCTGAAATCAAATACTTGAAATAATAATAGATTTAAGATGAAGTTAAATTGATAAAACACCTGATTTGAGAGTAAACTCGAAGCATCAATCTGATGGAAATCGATATCAGTTGATGATTGATTACCAATGTTGATGACTGGCTAAAAATCGTTGATCTGAAAGCAATGAAAACTCAGGGGAAGAAAACTCAAACCTTGATCAATTGATGAACTCATGATGTAGAGTAAAAAGCACAGCTTGAAAGATCGTTAGCAATTGTCGAAGATGAAGATTAGAGAAATCGACTGAACACTTGAACTTCTACCTTGGATGAAATCGATGATCACAGAGCTAAAATCAATAAAAATCTTGTAATGAATTGTTGATGTCGATAGATGAACATAAACCTCAATCACTCAATTCAAAGCAAATAGAAGATTGATTAGCGTGAATCGAAGATTAAGGAATGTTGATCGATTAGTGTGAATTGGTAGAAAGAATCGAATCAACTGGGTTTTGTGATAACGTGAAGATAACAGATCTGATGATCTAAAATTTAATCTAGTGACTAATCCACCCCTAATTAACTAATCTTTTAGATTAATTAGTGTTAATCACGTTTTCTTATGAGCCACAAGATCAGTTTTGATCAAAGGCGCAAATTTGGTCTCCATGTGTCACA